CTTTCTATTTTCCATCTGAGGTGGACAAAAACTTTTGATTTTTGTTGGGAAATGGGCCTAAACACCTTTCAATGCAAGAACTTTTAATAGTTTCGCCACAGAGGCATGTTGTAAATTATAGTGTGCATATTAATTATACTTCTAAAAATATGGCATTAGCTCATTCGTATGATATATACTCACCATTATCACTAATATCAAGAGCCTCACTTCCCTACCTGTATATACTAAACATGATCAACTCCGTCAAAAACGAGAGTTACATGAAGTCTTTTACAATATCTGAAATAGCCTGGCTAACGGGGGAGGCCTAGGAAAACATGACTGTTACTTTTCATGTTACATCTTACAAATGCCACCTACAACTTTACGCCTACAACTTTACGATATCGAACACGTGTGACGCTTGTCAAAGTTTCCCCGCATAAGAAAATTTCAAAATCATTTTGGTTCACATTTTGATCTGCTAAGGAGCTTTGTTTGAATTAAGGGATACGTTCAAGTCAATCAAACTTATTCATATTTCGCGATTCTTTATGAAGGCATTCAAGAATCTGTGTTTAATCAATTTTAATAGTCCTTTTTATTTTGCCTCAATTTTTTTCAACATAAAAATCATAAAAACGAATATTGTGTTAGCAGTTTCCTATTTTTTTATTGTCATTATGTTTAATTAACAGTGTATGCTAATATTTTGCTTAAATATAAAGTGGGTGGTCATCAATTATTTTTTTCAATCAAGTTTTCACTGGTTGCGTTAACGAAATTGTAGAATATCCTTTGCCATCATTTAAGTGTCAAAATATTATGATATTTTATATAACGCTGGACGAGTAACAAAGAAATTGCTTCAAAATACTAACTAGTGTATTGAATATCAGCTTCATGGAATATTGATACTAGTGACTTATCAATACATACCAGGGCTGTGCCATTTTTTTCCCTTTTTTGTTTTAATTTCAAACGACTTTTCTGTTGAAAAATCATGCTTTTGTTGCGGAAAAACATTAGCAAATTTCTCAAGATCTCATGTTTATAAATCGTAACAATCCTATCCTTTGAAAGTTTTTTTTTAACATATAGATTTACCTTATATAGGTTTTTCTTCTGCCTTTTGACCTGTTGAGCTGAGATGACATTCACTTTTCACCGTAATTATTTCTGATTCGAGGGGAAAAAAGGAGAAATCAATCCATTGCATTGGTGTGCGTGCGTTCGGGACGGCTGCTTGAAGCACTGAAGATCGCTTTCCTAATCGAACCAATCAAACAGTAGTAATAAGATTATGTATAATATCCTATTCCGTGGTGCTGCAACAACGCTTGATAAACAATCCGATAAGTGAGAAGGAACGTTCAGTGTGTCAAGTAGGGGGTACTACAATGGGGGTACACTTCAGTGTTGATAATCAATCTTTATCAAGAAAATGAATTTCTGATTTCGAAGCGCTAACAAAAGTGCTTTTGATATACATAGCATTCAATCAAACGAAATTTTAATTGTGAGCAATAACTGGCCGCGAGTTTGCTCGATAAATTAAGAGCAAAATAGTTAAAAATAAATTAAACTTTCACTGAAGTAATTGATCGTTTCGCTCCATCTACTTAGTCATAAAAAATTAATCATTTTAGATGCTTCAAGAAAAAAACAATGTTACTACAAAAAAATCATTATTCGATGTGTGGGGTTTTTGAAATTGATTATTTTTTGCTCAAAGAAAGACACGCCTGTCCTATGCACGATTGGGATTATAACCTCAAAATCTAATATGATACATACGTTTCTTTCAAAGACAACCTCTCAACGAAGCATATCACTCAGTCATCAATATTGAATGGAAGGCGTATTGTAATATTTACAGTTTTTTATTAGCATCAATAATATATATGATCGATTGCTTCAATAATACCAAAGACTAAGCAACGATACTTAGGATTTGTTTTGGTTCTTTCTTCATATGCGGTTCAGGTTCTATATTGCGTAGTGCCTTTAAACTAGTAACTCTCACTGGTCTTTAAGGGTGCATATCAGATGTATACTCTATAATACAAACCATGTGAATTGCATGACGTTGTACCGTGTAGTTAAGATCATGCCGTGACTACGCGGTTTATAACATGAATTGAATCGCTGTTACTTCTACCGCGAAAGTGATAAAATAAAAAAAGGTCCAATAGTGGTCATTTGAAGCGCAGTCTTTTCTCGTTATCTTGACACGCCAAATTAATACTTAAACAGATACATTAAAATTGTTTTTGTTGACTGAAAGAACTAGTAAGCTTATAAGCCACGAATTTCTTGCGTGCTAATGATAATTAAATTATTTGACACCAAATTAGTGATATGTTCACTCAATATTCCCTTAGATTGCGAGTATAAATGTCTTTTTTTTATTTTACTTATCCTTTTTCGGAAAATCAACTGAATTCCAATTATGATGCACAGATCGTGCAAGTGGGAACGCTCTCCAACTAATTAGTTACATTATACATACAAAATTTGTTCCGACTTGCTCCTATTTTTCATTTTTTAGAATATTTAAGTATTATTTGAATTTTTTGTGATGTATAGAATTCACTTGGTCAAAGCACGATTGACAGAAGCCCTGTGAAGTTAACCCTGGATTAACCTAATCAAGCTTTGAAAAACATTTCCCAGCAAAGGTTATTTCACTTGAGTATAACTTTTGAAACCGTAGACTTTGTTTAGCTTTGCCCGGATGACTGTCATCAGCTTAAAATAAGATCCCTAGCTTGGACGTAGAGAGTCTCTTAAAGGAACGTAATGTTATTACCAAAGAAGGTCAATATCATACTAAAATAGGTCAATATAGTGCGTAAATAGTCAAGACGTGACTTTCACGTATCATCGGTTTATAGATATCCTTACGATTCTCATTGAGAGACCATGGCCTCTAAGAATAGACAAACAGTTTTCATTGATGTGGAGCACTACCACTGAGATGCGCACAAGCTTCAAGGTATTTTTTAACAAAGGTGCAGTAACTTTCAATATTTGGTATTTTGCAAATTAAAATATCTTTAATTTCACTATGGTTATTTGCCTCCAAGCTTTATTTTCGAGCTGGCTAGTTCTTCTGTTCTTCAGATACATATCGTGTCGTTGCGGTTTGTCGGTGGTCAACTATCTCAAGTATATTGGTCAAACTATTTGTTTTTGATGTTCACAATATGTTTGTTTTGATGATACTGCGGTTTGACATTTGTGGTTGAGATTTTGCTAGCTGTTTATGCTTGTTCGGATGCTATTGTGGTTTGTGGTTGAGCTTTTGCTAGCTGTTTATGCTTGTTCGGATGCTATTGTGGTTTGCGGTCAGCTTTGGAGAGGCTTTAGGTGGAGATTTGGTTTTAAACTTTTCAAAGCTATTTGTTTTGAGGTTTTTCCTTTGTATTTACTCTTCATCATTAAAATCCTATATTTATCGCGAAAAATTCTCACCAGAAAAGTCCCCAGGTATACAATAAATTCAAATCACGAGAGGGACGAGAAGATGGAGCAGAGAATAGGTTGTCATACCACTCACTCGCTCACTCGCTCACTCACTCACTCACTGCTGCTTTCATTGCTGCATGTGCGCGCACGTGTTCTGTTATAGAGAACGCTGCTTACTGGCCCTGATCCAGCACTAGTTCACCAATTTGCATCATAAAACAAATCCGTGAAAATGAACCATTTTGTTTTATGAAGCAAATTAGTGAACTCGTGCTGGATCCGCCAGTGCTGCTAGCCAATCATCTTGCACTACAAAACATAGCTTGTTATGCGACTGACCTGTCATATAGAATTTATTCATATTTCTTCTCAGTCTCTTCCATATTTTGGATTACACACTTTGTTATATGTGTGCTGTTTTTTCATCAAATCTCAGCTCTCGTCTCTCCGCTAGAAATTCTTAAAGGAAGAAGCGTTTATCATTTCACACACATTGACCACCTTTCCTCAAATCTGACGGCTGAATATAACAATGAACTTTTTTATCTAGAGAATTGACAGTAAATTAACGGAAGAAAAAAGTAAAATATTATTTTCAAGTAGTAGTGAAAGAGTTTCATTCCGATGTGGTCAGGGGACACAGATCTCATCAAGTGGCACTCGACCACTTAGCTCATGACATAATATTTACGAGTTCCGAAATATGTTTATAGCATCTGAAGAACAGCTATTTTAAATGCTCCGAATTTTCTCTTCAATGCGTTACATGCATGTAACAAGAAGAAGCTATCTTTTTTGGAAGAAATCGAGTGTAAGTATGCTGATCTTATTCGTTTATCGCTAAGTTGATAACAACCTAACATCTATTTCACACCCCGACCAGCTCCCAGTCTGGCCTTGTAGCTCAGCTGGTAGAGCATCGGTGTACAAATKCGAAGGTCGTGGGTTCGAATCCCAGCGAGGTCGGAAATTAATTTTTCGGAATTTATTCCTAAGGGACTTCTCCCGGAATTGCCTCCTTCTAAGCACTATAACTTTCTTTCAATTCTATATTTGTGATATCATCGATGTCAACTCAACAGTATCGTGAACAAACGGTGTCACGGAAATGTCCGTCTGTGTCATTTTAATAGCTCGTTGGTTTAATCTTATACGGATATTGACACAAAAATCATATTCTTGGAGAAGATTCTTGGATTTGCAGAATAATTAATGATTGGCAGAATAAGGTGGCTATCATTTAAAAACGCTCAAATTCATATCTACGGAAAAAGACTACTCCAAAAAGGGTCAACATTCATCGACTTTACTAGTCTAGAACTGGACACGTTTTTCGCAATAACTATGTAAAAGTTAAATGAATGATTATGCACTAAAATAGTAATGAATAATTATGTAAAAGTTAGAAATTATTTAACTTCTTTTCGGCTCAAATAATTTTCAATTCCGCGCGCGCGAGGGTGAGATAGGTTCAAGTGAGTTTGGGATTAAGTTGAGCTTTGATAGCTGTCAAGTGTCAAGAAGAATGAAATAAATCAACAGGTACATTGAGATAAAGATCAATGGTCGACCTTTATTGCTGCAAGAGTTGACATAGAATCATATACTAGCTCGATCATGTACTTGTCATGCGAACTTCGTCTTACTCAACATATCACTAAAAGTTAAATGTCAATAACACTTGTAGTTCATTGAGTTTTTTTGTATATTAAAATGAATTTATTCCGCATTATTTATGTCCAGGGTTGTTTATCTTATGTTCACTTGGAAGAATTACTTTGTGTTTGGAATTCGTTTTGGTCTATCTTCCCCAAAGTCCTATTTTTTGTGGGTCGGCAGATCTTCCCCAAAGTCCTATAGACTTTTGTCTTTTTTGTTCATCTCTCTTATCTGCTACTCTGCCCCAAAGACCGACCGGGTTACCAGGCTCAGCAGATCTTCCCCATAAGCCGAAGTCATGTTGTCTTTTGCCCCAAAGTCCGACACCGTCACCTGGATTGGCGTATCTTTTCGCATCAAGCCCGCGTCTGCCGCCGCCTCTCTGTCTTTTACCCCACAATCCTACGGCATTACCTGGATTGGCGGATCTTCCCCATAGTCCAAGTCCTGAGTCCTGTCTTTTACTCCACGAATCAGCGGATCTTCCCCATAGTCCTACACCATTTCCTCGTTTGCCCCATAAACCGAAAGAGTTCGCTTTTTTATCAAAGAACTGTGGATCTTCTATTGGACTTTCTACTTGGCGTTTTCCCCAAAGCCCGAACTGTGGCGGTTCAGCCTCTCTTCTTTCTTCACTTATTTCTGATAATTCTCCCGCAATTGAACCCGTCCTTTCTGCTCCGGACGTTTGAACTGCTTTGTGTTGCTCTATATTCTCTTTTTTAGTACTTTTTCCTTGGCACTGAATTAGTAGAAGCGTAGTTAATATAACACAAAGCTGACCCTTTAAGGCCATGATCTGCAAGTAAAGAGCATTCTTTGCGTTATGGAAATGACAAATATCGTTTAAATACAAAATTTCGTTGCCTAGATATTCTATTAATATAATCACCCCCAAAGGAGTCACTTGTGCAAATATTTTTCGACTTCTGTTTCAATGAATTTCAGAGTATAAGTTCATGTCTTTATCTTGATACGGCTATATTTGAAAACAAAGTACAATGATTCTTCGACATTAACCATCACTTATGACCTAATCGAGGGATATGAGTTTGTAAATATGATTAAAAAATTGAAGTTACTTCAGCAATCTCATTTTTCACCATGTTTGTAGGGAAGAATGTTAATAAACACAGTCCATAGTGTACACTAATCAAAAACAGTTTCTCACAGCTAATATACACCGTTAAGCTTATTCACTTTTCATTTTAAAATTGCATTTTTACTTTGGAATTACTTTTTTTTATCATCACATAAACCCTTCGTTTGGAAGGACACATCAAATGTTCGATTTTCTTGCGATAGTGTTTCGTAATTAGCAAGTTAACAGCGGCTCGCAATAACTGATATAAGAGATACACGCCTCACTCTGTTCAGAGAATTTGATTAAAGTTTAAACCAAATTGAATTAACAGACTATTAACTGAATAAACCGTCTTTGATTTATATTATACTAACGTGAAATAGCTAGCGATCTAGTGTCTCTAAGAACATTGTGTTAACGTTGTGTTCGTTATCTATAACTAAGGATATAAAAGGGTGTTGGTCGCCTGGTGTGATACTCAATGTTAAACAAGTTTTCCTGCGAATTAGACACATAACATAAGAAAGGTGCTGATCTGAAACTAATTTGGTCTTATATCACTACTAGCGGACAGTGTTTTTTTACATCCAAAAGATATTTTTTTCTTAAAATGTAAGATGCCATGAACTTTTACAAGAAAAACAAATAATTTTACATCTACAAAACAAATAGTTGAGTAAAGAATCTTGTACTTACTCCAGAGATGTGTGTGTAGCGACCCTTAGCAGTGATTCAATTCTTGTACATTGGAATTTCCTCTGAATGTTCACCAGTGATTTATAACTTGATCTACACCTGACAATTCTCGAACGGCTTGAACTCGCGCTTATATAAACATTTTAACCTGACGACTTAACTAAAGAAAACGGAAATTGAACTGGTTGGAAAATTACGAACTGCTTCTGCAAGACAATAATATTTAGCTTTTCAAGCAAAATAATCAAGCAGGCATTTAACTTGAAATCCAATTACCAATTTCCCGAGGCGCCATAATCTGATTGTTTTGAATATCTTCAATGACACATCTGCGACAGCTGGGTAAGGATTATGAAAGGCCAGGACGAAAAGTCATGCTGCTTCAACCCTTTGCTAAAATCAACTTCTAAATTTAAATCTAAATATAGTGAGCTTCATAGGAAAAAACMTTGTATTTGTGCTTGTACATTGGACAATAATGTTTTTTTTCTTATCTTAAGATTTAATCACGGACTAAGTGTAGCGCATKAGTGAATCTGAAAGCAAAGTTTTCTAAAGACACAGAAGTTTAAATCTGCGATTTTGCTATATCAACTGCAAACGTTTTTCTTGATAGGTATTTTCCAAGAGTTTATCATGGATTTTTTTCAAGCCACAACGTTTTCTTATCATTTCTTAAGGGTAAGGTAAAMTTTTAGAAAGGAAATGAAAGGCGAATGAAGTCAAGACATTGTTCTTCGTTTTTGTATTTATCTTTTAATCAATCTTATTATTTCAAATACATAAATAACATAAACAATTTGTAACAATATTTTGCCAGAGGTTGCACTTCACTGTATTTCAACAAGGTTTCAGTCCAAGAATAACCGTAGAAATGGTTTTCAAAGTACSTTGGGCTAATGGTTTTCAGGTCACGGAATGGACTTCCATATACCTATTTTCAAACACTAAAATATTGACAAACCCTTCATTTATTGATTTACTAAAGAGGGAAAAATGCTTTCTTTGTCAGTGGTTTTGCCAAGTAAGATGGCGTAAGAAGGATGTAAAGGATTAATGGAATTATCCATGGTTTTCAACTGCAAAATAATGACTTTATTTTTTAATAAACCGTAGTGACAGCTTGGAACATCCCACATTTATTTTGCTAAAATCCAAGACAATATCTCAAATTAAATTTTTTGTTCGCTTTTGTTACGAATTGCGCAAAATTCAACAAACAAAAATAGCGTTTTCATTGCGTCATGTAATACCCAACAGTTTTTTTTTTTTTCAAAACATTTATTGCACCAACATTCTGTATATGATGTTTTTAACTGACATTGACTATCAATTCACTCATTTCCGTCACTACTTCTCAAGAGAGATTTTTCCAAACTTAGTAAAAAAACAACTGAGATCACGAACGATAAATAAGCTATAGGCTCTCAAGGAATTCCAAGGCGTAACCTTTCAAGAAACATCGAAARTACGCACTTTTGAATTACGTAAGAGAGCAAAAACAAAATTGTTTCGAATTGAGTAATTAACCGAATTTTAATCTGTGATTATTTGCTTAAAATAGTCACTCAAGCGCCGACATTTTAAACGGYATTTTAAAAGCTTCCAGATAAGCCAAGATCCGCGTACTGATAGTCTTTCAAAAGAGAATATAGTTAACTAAACCAGACGCGCAGCTTATCTGGAACCAGGACTAGTTCTCAGGAAGTTACAAYTCGTTTATTTAAATTGTTTTGTGTTGCTGGTCCATGAAATATTTACAAACTTCTGCAAAATCCTCACCCACATTCTAAGAACCTGTGGCCTCATTATCTGCGTATTGAGTTTCGTAGGCGGGTAGAATCAGTATGTATGAAACTCGCCAGTGTGATCCATCAATTCGCCTGTATTTACTATGTATATAAGTAAAAAAGGCAAATTCCCGAGCATTATTCATTGTGTTGCGAAAACTCCTAGGAGAAAATAATTCTCTAAAACATTTCGTGATAAAAAATAAGGAAGGAATTCCAAAAATCTGGTTTAATAGGTCTTCAATCTATCATTTATAACAATAACGAAGTGAAGAGGGTATTTGCTGTTATATACACGAGGTTTTTTCATTTAAACTCAAATAACTTTACTTGTCTCGATATACTGATTATTTTTAACATTATTTTTACCAGGATTAAAAGAGTCAAACGATAAATCGTATGTTTTCTTTTTCAAAAGAACGGCGATGAAATTTTGCTATCAACATGGAGATGCGAATCTGATATCGCAAATATGTTGAAAACTTGATGTTTATTGTCTTTCTATTTTTGCTAATTATTGTTGGATAGGAAAACAAACAAATTGGATCCCCTCACTAGCAGGAAGTAGGAGAAAGTAAATTCCAATATGCAGTTGACAAGTTAAGTTGACAATATGGAATAAACAAAAATGAAAAAAAGAAGAAGAAAAGATCAAAGGTATCGAGAGTGAAATAAAAATTGAAAAAAACTCATGAGTCCCTGATTGAAGCCTAATTTCTTGAATTCAACACCCTTCTTCGCGTTTTCTGTTTTCCTTTTACAGCCTGGACGTTTAACTTCGTGTTGCCCATTAACATAGAGTTAGAAAAGCAGGTCATTCTATAGTGTTGCGAGATTTTTCGCTCTGTTCACTACCAATGAAAGAATCCACTCATGGTATATTGTCAAATGTACATAGTTTTTGCACTATATGCGACCCAAAAAGCAGTCATTCTCACACGACTGCTAAAAGCTTAGCAAATTTCTATCACCTGAGAATCTGAGACAGAATTGTCAAATTACTTTTTGTAAAACGCGTCTTGACATATAGACATTCTTTGTTCAAGTAAAAACAGTATCATCTATATCTATTTAGTGTCAAGAATGATGCATTTTTATCACCCGAGTTCTTATCTCATCCGGCTTCACAGAATTCATGATTTCCCTCGAGATGTCGGTACTTTCGGCTCGATACAAATGGTTCATTTTGGTGAAGTTGACAAATTCTTGGTCAAGGCGGATAGGCCTCTTTAATCCTTTCATATGAAAAACGAAAGGCGTTTGAACAGATATTTCAAACAGGGTGCGTGAGATTTAAAGTCGTGAAAGTATAGTTTGATGCGTATTTCAATTTGATCTACTGCGCAGTTCTGATCCTCTTAAAATGAACYTGTAGCTGTTTGTCAAATCTTTAGAATTCAATCAGAGACAACTACAAGACAGTCAGGAACTTTATTTTACCCACTTCAAGTCGAGTCAGGAGTGCTTAAAACAAATACAATTTCGAAACGGAGCTCAATAAACACGTTACGCGGAAAATCCAGAAAAGTTAAGAAGGATCATCATTGGGCAATAATCCGAGATAGGAATAATCCCAATGACGTCACATTTGAAGCATGCGCAATGTGCAATCTGGATATTGCGTCATCAGTTTCAAACCCCTGTATCGAGAATTGACAATTCTTGGATTCTTGTAGCTTTTACATATAGTGTCTGTTTCTCTCTTTCTTTAAGTAAAGTAAATAACCCTAAACGCTTTATATTACAATAGAATAATGTGTGATTTAACACAAAGCACTTTGCATGGGTGCATCATTGGATAGAAACATCCGATAGTGAGGAAAAAGAGAACTATTTATGGCAAAGCTATAGCTACTCACATTTGATCTTAATTTCCTAAATTAGAGCAGTTGAACATTAGAGAATAATAAGAGATTTTCCAGGAACTCGAGCCACACTTGTTACGTCATTGTACTGCTACACTAGTCAATCATAACACTAACCCAAGCTTCCATATTATTAATAATCCATTTGCAATACATCAATATCTATCCATTCCGGCAACACCAACTATCCATGAGATATAATCCTAGTCATATATGTCCATAAACGGACCATCTATCCACCCCTTTACCCATTCATCTCTTTACCCATTCATCCCTTTGCCCATTCATCTGTTTACCCAACCATCCATCTATCTCAGTACGTAACTACATTAAGTTTTTTTAAAAGAAAAATCCCCAATTCAGCATTCMTCCCTGATACGCCGGTCTGTCTGTCCGCGACGATAATTACCTTGCGTAGCTATCAATGTATCACGTACATTTTCAAACGACAWTAAATGTTTCATCATCATGTATATGAACTATTCGTTATCAATATTGACGTAAAACATGTTCTTTCGCATGTATGTATTTCCATAAATGTAATACACTTTGATAAGATACTTAGTCAGCCCTCAAGGAGCCATGAAAATCTATTTTACTCGCCGTCAAGTTAATTACGKCGCTATCTTGYTCATCATTCCGTTACCGGAATATTAAAAATCGTTTAACCTTCTCTGAATCGTGGATGACGTCGATATTTATCGGTTGTCGGCATCGCGTCGCATTATGTCTGTAATAGACCATAATACCGCTCATAGAGAAACACTGTCCGAGATTGCCTGTTTCATTGGACCTTATTAACAATACAGCCGCCATCTTGAATTCTATTTTTTTTTTTTAGTATTGATTTATTAAGAAACTGTAGGTCGAATGAACAAGAATTCCGTAAACGTTAACGACTTAGAACTATGTTGTGTCATAAAATGTGAAAAAATATCGGACAATATATCGTGAAATAAGCTCTTTAGAATTCAAGATGGCGGCTGTATTGCTAATAACGTCTATTGGTTATTCACGATTGTAAAACACCCAGTGTTTGAATTCGCAGTTTATATACACAGGGTCTATGTTGATTCATAGTTTGGCCAAAAAAACAATCGATGTTTGCAAAATCATTATTAGATAACATTAAATTTAAAATATAATCTATCATCACACATAACTGAAAGGCTGACCTTATCATTTAACCATTGCACAATCAGTTTACAAACAAGCCCAGGAAAAGTGGAAAACCATTCTTGATCAACTCAAACCAGTGGCATTTATTTTATTTTATTATGTCATCATAAACTATGGTGTCCAAAACACATTATTTACTGAACCTTCATCCCAGGCCATCTCCACCACTGAATGAAAGGTCTGGGATCGAGGTTGGATTTAAGAGCACTACATGCATCAAGTAACAACCCTAATCTGCCCCTAACCCATCTGTCACAAATCCAAATCCGTCAGACTTTGAAAGCATTGATTACAGATTGTTGGAAAGTGTTTTTGAAGTGTAGTTGTCATAGGTCCAACATTGATATTACTCCCTTTTAAAAGACGTGATTTGTTTGTTAATGGCAAAAAAAACTACTCTTACGATAATTCTGAGCTATATTAGCTAAAATTTTACCGTTTAATGTCATAGAAAAAAAAGAAAAGAAAAATTATATTTATCAAAATATTATTTAGTTCTACAACAATTTTTCTTATGCTGATGAAATGACTTTAGATGTTT